GCCTCCCAGCATCATCACTGCCATCACAGCATCACCACCGCCTCCCAACATCACCACCGACATCACAGCATCACCACCATCTCCCAACATCACCACCGCCTCCCAGCATCACCACCGCCTCCCAGCATCACCGCCGCCTCCCAGCATCACCGCCACCTCCCAGCATCACCACCACCTCCCAGCATCACCGCCACCTCCCAGCATCACCACTGTCTCTCAGCATCACCGCCACCTCCCAGCATCACCAGCTCCTTGCTTCGCAAACATCATCAGGCCACAGATGACATTAAGGTGACAAAATTAACAGACCCTCAGTGCAGAAAAACAGAAATAAGATTTTGTGTAGTGTTGTCTAGGCTCACAGACTCCCCCTGAAGGCCATTCTTGAACTCCAAGCTGGAGAACTCTGTCCCGGACTTTACTATGAATTTTAACAAGAATAGCATTTAACGTTTGCCTTGAAAAAGTGGTATCACAAAGACCCCTGCTGGTCAGGACTTCTCCCTTATCAGCAGAGGTGTTGGTAGGCAAAGCACACCCCATCCAGGTGAAGCTACTTAGATCCTGGCACGTGAGCACCCCGGCCACCAGGTTTCTCTTCTGTGTGTGTTTACATACATACATGTAAAAAGTATCATGTATTTTCACAGACCACATGTCCACTTTATTCTAAAGCAAAAATGAGAAGGGCAGGGAAGGAAGAAGAACAGAAACAGTGAGCAAGTCGGCACATGCTGAAAACACAGCCAACACCACTACGAGACTTGTGTAGAAATTATTGAATGGAGACCCATTTTGCTGTGTAAACTTCCATCAAACACTCAAGATGATACCAAAAGAAAAAGGATCGCTCTCCCAGATCAGGCTCACAGTCTAACTGACGCTTGGTGGGGACTGTTGGCCCCTTAGGGAGGTGACATGGTCCCGATGTGTCAGCAAGTGTGGAATGTGGCACACACACTAACTGACCAAACAGCTGACAGGCAGCCACGTGTTAAAGAGCAACGTACTGACTGCCCAGCCCTGCTCCCGGGGTGGTGGTGAGACGTGGGCTGTGTTCAGAGCCATGTTCACCGGTGACGTGTGATGGAATTTTCCAGGAATGTGCCCTGTGGTCCTGTATTGGGAGAGGTCTCTGGTCTCTTCTGGACTTTGCCCACATCCTTCCTCTCTCTGCCAATTGCTCCTGTCTTTCCTACAGGCCATCCCAGCTGTGAGCACGCCATCTGCCAAGTCCTGTGAGCGCTCCAGGGAATCACCGACCTCGGAGGTGGTCGTGGGGGCCCCATACAGCCCTCAACTACCCTTTCAAGGAACAGAGATAATGAAGTGTACAAACATTCCTGAGGCTCCTAGCAGGTGCCTGGCTTCATGCTGATGCACACGTGTTCCTAGCTAATCCTCAGACTAACTCTTCAAGGTAGACGTCACATCCTGGTTCTGGAGTTAATGCATCTGATGCGACAAATCATGAACAGTCAATCTCTGGCTTCCATGTGCTCAATAAAGCCTCATTCCCACTGAACTGAGTTTGGATTACATTTCTCCAAGACTTATCAGGCCAGTAATCTGAGTAACTTCCTGGAAAACTCATACAAGATAAAGTGGCCAAAAGGTCGGCATACTATTCCAAGCTCGCTCAACAGACTAGACGTTGTTCCTGTTGCTCTGTGCTGTCAAGTCAAGCAGGACTCACAGTGACCCGATGAACAACAGATCTGAACTCTGTCCGACATCCTGTGCCGTCATCACAATCTCTAACACACTCAAGCCCACTGCTGCAGTCACTGTGTCAATCTATCTCATTGACGGTCTCCTCTCTTGCTGTCCCCCCACCTCTCCAAGCATGATGTCCCTCTCCTAGGAACGACCTCGCCTAGCAACGTGTCTGAAAAATGTAAGACGAAGCTTCATCATCTCTGTCTCCCAGGGGCACCCCAACTGCAAGCTCTCCAAGATATCTGTTCCGCTGGCAGTCCATGGAACACTCCCCCCCTTCTCCAACACTCCAGTTCAAAGGCATCGATTCAATAGATAATAATGTGTAAACATAACTTTTCTAGGGAAGTAAAGGAAAAAGTGTGTGACGTGCTTAACTGTAATTTCTGCTTTCCTGGGCGGCAGGCGATCCACTTCACTGTAATTTCTGCTTTACTGGGCGGTGGGAGGATTGCCCAGCTCGTCCACCACGGGTCCTGACACACACAGTCTAGTACAGCACCTCTAGAACTGTGCAAAGCAAGCTAAGCGTCGTCGGAGAAAGTAGCTGAGCCCAGAAACTGACCTCAGGATGGTCTCACTGGTGCAGCAGTTCTCAAAGGGGATCACGTAACCGACTTCATGGCCGATGTTGACGTCCATTTCGTCGGCCACCCGGAGGGCCAGCTGGACGGCAGTCTGCTTGTGGACCTGGGTGCATATCACACCCCCGTGCTGGTAGTGGATGGAGAGGCAGTACTCAGCACACCACTGAGGGACCTGGAAGAGGGCAAAGCCGGACAGCATCAGCTCCTGTGAGACCACCAAGGCCATGGACAATATGCATAAAGACCCAGACCAAACCCGGTGCCAGAGGGTCAATGCCAACGTGCTGACCCGCTAGAGCAGAGCAGAGCTGCCTCGGAGGGTTTCAGAGGAGTCCTGGAAGTGAGTGGACCGCAATGGCTGGCTGGCTGGCTGAGAAGTTGATGGTTCAAAGACCCCGGCACTTCCCAGTGGAAAGATGAGACAGGCTACTCTGTAGGGGTTTAAAGCCTCAGAAACCCTACGGGGCAGCTCTAGTCCGTCCTAGAGGGTCGCTAGGAGTCAATGGACTGAGTGACAGTGGTTTTTGTGAATTGCTACATCTTCTTCCCACCAAGTAGCTTGTGGGTTTGAACTGCCTACACTTTGGTTAATAGCTGAGAAGTTAACTGCAGCCCGGCCAGGGCTTCATACGCTCTCTACAGTAGGGCTTACTGGGTACATGAGATTTTCCTTTCTGTGGTTATCTACCAATGGCTGTGCTGTTTCTCATTTAGTAAAACTCTGAACAAACGTCTTATGCATGCCCAGAAATCAGCAAACTTAGAGGCCTAAGGGTAGTTAATGGGAACTACAGAAAGTGGACCCCAGAAGAGAGACAGATCACCAGCTGAAAGGGCTGCAGGCCTGGCTCTGGGAGCGTGTCACCTGAGGCCTGTGTCTTAAAGTACTAAGGCCCACGATCTAGATTATTCTTTTATTTGTGGTCAGAAAGCCCTATCCCATACATGGTGTATGATTAACAACTATTTTATTTTAAGTAATACAAACAGTATTGAGTTTCAAGACAGTGAATCAAAATCGAATTACTTACATTTAAAATGTAAATGATCAGGGGAAAAAGTATTCAAAAATGTGCTTAATGATTCTTTAGTTTTTAACATAAAAAAAAAATTCTTAAAATAATGCAATCTATCATCCCAATGCAATTAAAGATAAGCACAGTGAAGTAAATAGCCAACTCATCTAGGTTTGGGAGAAGCCAATACCAGGTTGCCTTTGAGTTATCTATTTTTAAATCCTTAATTCTGAAATATATTATGGATTAATTGATCTGTATCAAGTTCATTTACACCAGAATTATTACAGTAGAAACTTGTAGATTCACTGGAGTGCTTCAATTGTAAGGCACAGCCGATGAAGCCTAACCTCTCAATAAATATTTTTGAAATAAATCTTCACAAGAGTGCTTCCCATATGGATTCAAGGTATTTGAAAATTTTCACCTTTTTTATGTTTTCAGCTAGACCACATCATGGAATTTTTTTATCCTCACTGTAACTTGAGAGACGTAAATTACCAGAAATCAGAAGTAACTCTGAAAGGCGAGGAAGTTGGTAAGGAACGGCGAAGCCCCGGTGAGCGGGCATGCAAGCTGACTGCGACCACGTTAACACAGTGTCTGGGCACACAGCAGTAACTGGAACTCTGCCCTGAAGAGCTGAGAGACCAGAGGAGGCTGGCAAACCCAAGACGGCGAGACAGGAGTTTTATTTACTGGGTTAGGTGCTGGGGCAACGCCCTGGGTGGTGGCAGCACCACACTGAGTCTCTGCGTACCCAGGAGGCTCTGATGAGCAAAAGCAGCCCAAGACAAGAGTCCTGGACCTCCGCCCTAGCAGGGGTGGCGGCCAGTGACTTAGTAAGTGGAAGGGAGTTAGCAGCAAACACGTGAATAGCCACAGCTGGCCTTGCAAAAATCCCTGTTCTCCTGCACGTAAGATCCCAGCCCTGTCAACAGGATGACCATTAACTAGTAATTCTTTATTCATCATCTACTTTGTGCTAGGTTAGATTTAAGACACTTGGAGGCCAGAGGAGACAGACATACGGGGGGCCCTAAGCCAGGCCAGCTTGTCACTCATGTGATACTCGTCAGTCACAGCTCCTCTAAGTTCATTTCCCCTGACATGAATCAAGGCACCAGATGTGGGTTAACCTTCAAGTCTAACCTCATGTGCTGTTTCCTTTGCCTCAAGGCCTGCAGAACTCTCCCAGGATATCTCTGACATGGAACACATCACATTTTCCGTGTCTACCTGTCTGTTTCCAGCACCCAACTCAGCCCCATTAGACTACACTGAGAAAGCAGATCCCCACCCGTTCTGACCACCAAAGCTTCACAGAACCCAAGACACACTCATTGGACGAAGACTTTAGTTCCTTATATTTTCCAGAAGTATTTTTGTGTTTTTAAATTTTTATTTTATTATTTTTTGTGTGTGTGTGTACCGTCAAATCAGATCTGACTGGTAGAGGAGGAAATTGCCCCTCCTTCTCCAGCAGAGCATCTGGTGGATTCGAACCACATACCTCTGGGATTGCAGTGCTCCAGAAATATTTTTAAATTCTAAGATTCTCTATAATCTGTGTGCACCACCTCCCCATTCACCAGCTACTTACTTGTCCACGGTCACTACGTATGGGTGGCAATTGGCCCTCAAAGATTCTAGGGCAGGCACTAATTTTTCATTACTCCTCCTAGCACGAGTGTCTAGCTTACGGGCAATGCCATGGTGGCAGCAGAGTGGTGGCAAAGGACGCTGACCATGTCCACTGTAGAACACCAGGATATGGTGTCTGGACTTGGTTCTTAAGTCTAGGATAGCTTCTCAGAAACTCTAGAATTCTACCTGCCTAATGACTGTAGGCTGTTCTCAATTTTCTTGTTTCATTTGTGACTGCATTTCATTGCCTTCCATCTCCCCATTTAAGAAATTATGCAGGATTGTTGTTATGTGGCACTGAGACGCCTGTGACTCATGATAACCGCGATGTACAATAGCTCTGAAGCCTGCCCTGTCCTGAGCCAGTCTTACTGACTCTGACACACCTACCCTCATTACCCCAGTTACTGTGTCAATCCATCTCTTCCAGGGTCTTTCTCTCCTGTGCTATCCCTTCACTCTTCCAAGCATGATGTCTTTCAAAGTATGTGATATGGAGCTTCAAAATCCTAGCCTTCAAGGAGAAACTTGGTTTCACTCTCTCCAAGACAGACCTATTTGTTTACTTGGTGGTCTGTGGTATGTTCAATACTCTTCTCCAGCACCACAACTCAAGGGCATCAATTCCTCTTCCGTCATCCTTAGTCACTGTCCAGCTCTCTCACGCCTAGCAAGTAACTGTCAAGACCACACCCTGGATCAGGCACATCTTAGTCCCTAGACTGACGTCATTACTCTTCAGCACTTTGGAGAGGTCCCGACAGCAGATTTTCCCAACACAATTCATCTTTTCTGTTTTCTGACTGCTGGTGCCAAGAGTATTGCCTGTGGAGAGTTGAACAAGCTGAAATTGTTAACAACCTCAATCTCTTCTCCATGTATGATGGCGTTGTCAATTGGTGATATTATTGTTATATCAGTGCTAGAAAACTGAGTAGGAGTGTCAGAGTCAGTGAGACTGGCTCAGGACAGGGCAGGCTTCAGAGATGCTGTTGTACATAAGGTTGCTATGAGTCATAGGTGACTCAAAGGCACATAACAACAACCATCTTTCATTGGATTTGGTTACCTATGCAGGATGGTTGTTGCTGTTGTGTACCATAGACTCAGAAGCAACCCAGAGCTGACCCTCCAGTGGGTTTTCAGAGGCGGTTAATCACACAGGAGGAGACTGCCCATCTTTCTCCCATGGAGCAGCTGATGGCCTCGGACCACATGTCTTTGGGATTGCAGTACAGCTTCTTGCCACTAGGCCACCAGAGCTCCTAGTACTGACAGAACAATAATACCTCAAGTGGGTGGTTTTAACAAGCAGAGATTTATTTCCTCCCACTTTGGGGGGCTGTGACTTGACTGCAAGTGTTGTATCTCATCTTAAGCCTCTCAGAGGTGATTGGCTGGGCAGGTCCTTGGGATGATTACATCATCACAGGGTTCAGGTCACGGTGACAACGTGCATCCCTTGACTTCTCATTTCTTATTTGAAAGGGAAGTGTTGGACGTAAGCAAACCTGCTGCAAAAGAGAGCCGGTAAGAGGAGCTGCCTGAGTAACCAAAATCAGGTCTAATCAGGGCGTTAGCTACTCCAGGTTGTAACTGGAGCCCTAGAACTTGTACAAGTGCAGAAAACAAAGCAAAGTGTTCCTCTCCTGGGGGAGGTGAAACTGGATTCTGGGGGACCTGGGGCTACAAGGTCAATGAGCAGCTAGATCACGAACAATAGCTCTGTGATGATGGCAGCCCTGGCACCAGGTGTGTCCGCCCCCGCACCACAGTCACTCGGTAAGAGGACCGCCACGTGCAGCCACAGCGGTGGAGGGCACGCTGACTCTTCCATGTGCAGTGACTGCCTGTCAGACCTCTTCCAACACACGATTACGTATGAAGGAGAACGTTCCACGTGAGACAACATGCTCCTGAAAAGCCAGCTGTCATCAATGCTGACTCACGGCTTACGGCGGCCCCGTAAGTGTCACAGGGGAACTGTGACCCGGAGGAGTTTCTGGAAGCAAAGCTCTGGAACTTTCTTCCACAGAGCCCCTGGGTGGATTTGAACCACCAACTTTTCTGTTAACAGTCAAGTGTGCTACTCATGACACTGAGTGAATGCAGACTTTACCAGCAGGGCCCTTGTGGCCTAGGGGTAAGGAGTTGAGCTGCCAACCCAAAAGCACATGGTTTGAATCCACCAGCTACTCCATGGGGGGAAGATGGGCAGTTTGTGCGACTTAGGGCTTCTGAAGATGCACCGACGAGTTAGCCATGAGTTACTGTGACTTAACAGCACACAACAACGACCACATCAGAAAACAGCAGGCAGCCTCTCAGCTGATAGAACTCTCAGTTGGTAGAACTGTTCTGTGCAGCTTCTCTGAGTAAGTTTAATCTTAGCCATTGTCATGTGTGCCACTGAGCTGATTCTGACTCAGCACAACCTCACCGGCTATGCTCTCCACAGAGCGCACCACCTGGCCTTTCTCCCTCAGAGCTGGGACCTTCTATGGAGCACGTAACCTGGCCTTTCTCCCACGCAGCTATGACCTCTATGGAGTGCATCACTTGGCCTGTTTCCCATGGATCCATTGGCAGGTTTGAACGTATAACCACTGCACCACCAGGGTGCCTTATCAACGCTTTGTGCTTATTCATCTCACACACAGGTCCATCCGTTTAATGGGAGAGTTTCGTTAGGACAAAAGTTAGAGAAGGAGAAGCAACTAAAGAAGGTGGTTCTGAAAGTATCTCTTGCAGGTTTTTCCATAAATCTACCAAAAAAAAGACATACTATGGACCAGCTCTGTAAACAAGGGGCCTTTCCCGAGCAGTCACCAGGGAGCCTTCCCACTGTGTGCAGCACCAGAGAGAGAAGGGGTTTAGGATCCAGGAGAACCGTTGCGCGTCTGTTCTGGAAGGTGCAGCTCTTAAGACAAGCTTTTCTCTGAAAAGTTTAAATCTCAAAAGAACAAGAAGGCAGCTTTGGGAAGTCTTTAAAAAGTAACCATCGGGCGGGGGTGGGGGGTGGGGGTGGAAATAACCAGGCTGTTTATAGAATTAATAAAATCAGGAATGCCTCTACTCTTTTGATCCATTTAGCACAGAACCCCTCCTCCCATTATCTGAAAACAATTCTGATTTCTCTTGCAGCAAAGCACACACTGCTTTCCTACCTAAGAGAAAACAAGTAGGGTGTTAGAATGTTCCAGCCATCAAAGGCCGTGAGTGACATCACCGCTAACGTAACATCAAATGCTAGGTAACATAAGGGGGCAACTCTTTTAGAGATCACATGCAAAGAATAACTATTTACATTTTGTGTTGTTTTTTTATAGTACTATAAACTGCTGTGTGAACAGGCAATGTCAAAACTCTGCTTTTAGGATAATAAACACCGAATGGTAAGACAGCCTGACTCCTCACAGCCGGAAGAACACGGAAATATGGGCATGGTGAAGGGTAGAGAGACCTGTGGTGTCGAATTGGAAATGTATAAAGTCTTAGTTTTGAAGACGGGAGTATGTAGAGAAGTAGGAAAAAATATTCACACAGAGAGAAGTAGAGAAAGGGAGAGCCAACCAGAAAGAGAGGCACAGAAACCGAAAGGGGGAAAGCAGGTGACAGACAGATGCGTGTGCACAGCATTTATTTCCGTGCTCCATTCGCTGACAGGACCTACAGTGCTGCACACAGTGGCCATGGTTACACCTACCAGATCTTGGTTTCCAAAGACAGTTCTCCTCTAGAAGGAACCAGGACTGTGGGAGAAAGTGAGTGTTTCCAGGACTGAACAAGGAGTGTGAGCTGGTGACGGGGAGTGTGAATCGTTGATCGGGAGTGTAAGCCCATCACAGGTCACTGTGTCAGAGGGCAAAGTGCTCAGACCCTGGAGCCCGGCCTTCCTTAAACACGACATACAGAAGTCATCGTGATGGGGTTTCCACAGACACACTGAGGACCATTAAAGAGGGGGGGAAAAAATCAACCACCACAAAAAAATCCCAACAAACTTAAAAAACAAACCAATGGGCTTAATGATTAGGTCAACACTGCACAGCATGATGTATAGATTCAACTCAATCTTGATCATAATTCTACCAGTCTCCTTTGCATAAATGGGAAAGCCAATTCTCAACTTTACACGCAATGGAAAGAGATCTTGAACAGCTAAAACAATGTTAAACTAGGAGAACAAAGTTGGAGGACTCCTATTTCCTGTTTTTAAAACAGTATAGAAACAGGAATCTACACCACCTGGTCCTGGCATCACAACAGACGCACAGACCAACAACGTAGAATTAACGAGTCCAGAGATAATAAACTCACATATCTATAGTTAGCCGACTTTTGGCAAAGGCTCTAAATCCATTTACTGGAGCAAGAAGAGGTTCCTCAATAGATACCCACTGACGTTAAGTTGATTCTGACTCAAAGCACTGAGTTTGTGCATCTGTAAATTTGTGGAGATAGACTGTCCATTCTCCCCTGATGACCAGTGGTGGGTCCTAACGGCTGTCCATTCTCCCATGATGATCAGTGGTGGGTCCTAACGGCTGTCCATTCTCCTGTGATGACCAGTGGTGGGTCCTAACGGCTGTCCATTCTCCCCTGATGACCAGTGGTGGGTCCTAACGGCTGTCCATTCTTCCCTGATGACCAGTGGTGGGTCCTAACGGCTGTCCATTCTTCCCTGATGACCAGTGGTGGGTCCTAATGGCTGTCCATTCTCCCCTGACGACCAGTGGTGGGTCCTAACGACTGTCCATTCTCCTGTGATGACCAGTTGGTGGGTCCTAACAGCTGTCCATTCTCCTGTGATGACCAGTGGTGGGTCCTAATGGCTGTCCATTCTCCTGTGATGACCAGTTGGTGGGTCCTAACGACTGTCCATTCTCCCCTGATGACCAGTGGTGGGTCCTAACGGCTGACCTACTGGCTGGCAGTGCAAACGTGACACAGTCATCAAGGCTCCTTCTTTCATAAATTTCTACATTCTCATTGCTGTCAGGTCGGAACTGATTCAGAGCTGCCCTTCCAGGGGGTTCGTGAGGCTATAAACTGCATGGGGCGGGGGGGACACTGTCCATCTGTCTTCTGTGGAGCCACTGGTGGATTCACACCTTCAGTGACGCATGACACCTGTGCCATCAGCACGACTCCTGACAGACGACTGCTCCAGAGCTCCCTCTTCAACAAACGGGGAAATGAACTCTAACACGCAGAAAATGAAACAGGGTCTGTGCCTCACATTACACCCCAGGGCAAATGAAAAATGGAGTCAGGACTTACACATGCACATTAAAACCACACAACTCTTAGAAGAACAAGCTAGGGTGACATCAGGCCCACTTCCAAGAACGGATTACCTAATAAAACTACAAAAGAACTAAAAGGGACTGCATACAAATTAACCCACGTCATTTATCAAAACACTTTACTAAAAAAAGTGAAGGCAAGCTACTTTTCTTTTCCAGAGACAAGAATATCTTTAGAAACCATATCCATAGACCCAACAGGAAGTTAATAATCAAAATTATACAACACTTTGACAACAGAGAGACAATCATTAAATCAGCAAAGGACCTGAATAGACATTTAACTGAAAAGAACACTCCAATGGTCCCAAACTCATGAAGGGACACTCAGCAACATGGGCCATCAGACGCAAACCAAAACCATAAAAAATTCCTAGAAAATCAGAAAATAAGCAGTGCCGGCACAGATATGGGGCAAAGGCACTGCCCAGCTAACCACTGAAAACGTGGGGCGTCAAAGCCTTGCACACTGCTCTTCACGGCAGCACCCACACCAGTGACCTACGCTCAGCTGCGGAGGCGCAGGTGGACGGACTGCCATCCCGTGGAACAGGGCTCACCCAGGAGGGTAGGGGGTCTGCAGACGGGCCGGAAGGATACAAGTGATACATGGTCTCGCTTGTGCAACAAGTCAACACTGGGCAAATGTATAGAGGCCAATGTTTACTAGCGGCTTCCAGGGGCAAAAACCA